AAGTATATCCCCAAGTTCGAACCCAAGTACTAGTGCAATACCAAGCTACAAACCCAGCATCACTCCAAGTCAATCAGTACCCAGTGTAATCAGCAAGAATCCCAGTGCAATGCCCAGTTCATTACCAAGTGAAGTGCCCACAGTGAGTCCTGAGCCCAGTAGATCGCCAAGCTTCAACCCCAGTACGAGTCAGCTGCCCAGCAGTTCCCCCAGTGTCAGCCCTAGCAGCTTTCCCAGTGCTATCCCAAGCAGCAATCCTACATTGAGTCTTGTGCCCAGTGACATACCCAGCTCTGGCCCCAGCAGAAGCCAGAATCCGACCATTGATCCCAGCTCCAACCCGAGTGGCGCTCCCAGCTCTATCCCAAGCGATTCCCCATCTGTCAGTTCCAGTCCCAGTAGATCGCCAAGCTTCAACCCCAGTACGAGTCAGCTGCCCAGCAGTTCCCCCAGTGCAGCCTAGCAGCTTTCCCAGTGCTATCCCAAGCAGCAATCCTACATTGAGTCTTGTGCCCAGTGACATACCCAGCTCTGGCCCCAGCAGAAGCCAGAATCCGACCATTGATCCCAGCTCCAACCCGAGTGGGGCTCCCAGCTCTATCCCAAGCGATTCCCCATCTGTCAGTTCAGTCCCAGTAGATCGCCAAGCTTCACCCCAGTACGAGTCAGCTGCCAGCAGTTCCCCCAGTGTCAGCCCTAGCAGCTTTCCCAGTGCATCCCAAGCAGCAATCCTACATTGAGTCTTGTGCCCAGTGCATACCCAGCTCTGGCCCCAGCAGAAGCCAGAATCCGACCATTGATCCCAGCTCAACCCGAGTGGCGCTCCCACTCTATCCCAAGCGATTCCCCATCTGTCAGTTCCATCCCAGTAGATCGCCAAGCTTCAAACCCCAGTACAGTCAGCTGCCCAGCAGTTCCCCCAGTGTCAGTCCCTAGCAGCTTTCCCAGTGCTATCCCAAGCAGCAATCCTACATTGAGTCTTTGCCCAGTGCATACCCAGCTCTGGCCCCAGCAGAAGCCAGAATCCGACCATTGATCCCAGCTCCAACCAGTGGGCTCCCAGCTCTATCCCAAGCGATTCCCCATCTGTCAGTTCCAGTCCCAGTAGATCGCCAAGCTTCAACCCCAGTACCGAGTCAGCTGCCCAGCAGTTCCCCCAGTGCAGCCCTAGCAGCTTTCCCAGTCTATCCCAAGCAGCAATCCTACATTGAGTCTTGTGCCCAGTGACATACCCAGCTCTGGCCCCAGCAGAAGCCAGAATCCGACCATTGATCCCAGCTCCAACCCGAGTGGCGCTCCCAGCTCTATCCCAAGCGATTCCCCATCTGTCAGTTCCAGTCCCAGTAGATCGCCAAGCTTCAACCCCAGTACGAGTCAGCTGCCCAGCAGTTCCCCAGTGTCAGCCCTAGCAGCTTTCCCAGTGCTATCCCAAGCAGCAATCCTACATTGATGTCTTGTGCCCAGTGACATACCCAGCTCTGGCCCCAGCAGAAGCCAGAATCCGACCATTGATCCCAGCTCCAACCCGAGTGGCGCTCCCAGCTCTATCCCAAGCGATTCCCCATCTGTCAGTTCCAGTCCCAGTAGATCGCCAAGCTTCAACCCCAGTACAAGTCACTGCCCAGCAGTTCCCCCAGTGTCAGCCCTAGCAGCTTTCCCAGTGCTATCCCAAGCAGCAATCCTACATTGAGTCTTGTGCCCAGTGCATACCAGCTCTGGCCCCAGCAGAAGCCAGAATCCGACCATTGATCCCAGCTCCAACCGAGTGGCGCTCCCAGCTCTATCCCAAGCGATTCCCCATCTGTCAGTTCCAGTCCCAGTAGATCGCCAAGCTTCAACCCCAGTACGAGTCAGCTGCCAGCAGTTCCCCCAGTGTCAGCCTAGCAGCTTTCCCAGTGCTATCCCAAGCAGCAATCCTACATTGAGTCTTGTGCCCAGTGACATACCCAGCTCTGGCCCCAGCAGAAGCCAGAATCCGACCATTGATCCCAGCTCTCAACCCGAGTGGCGCTCCCAGCTCTATCCCAAGCGATTCCCCATCTGTCACTTCCAAAGTTCCAGTCCCAGTAGATCGCCAAGCTTCAACCCCAGTACGAGTCAGCTGCCCAGCAGTTCCCCCAGTGTCAGCCCTAGCAGCTTTCCCAGTGCTATCCCAAGCAGCAATCCTACATTGAGTCTTGTGCCCAGTGCCATACCCAGCTCTGGCCCCAGCAGAAGCCAGAATCCGACCATTGATCCCAGCTTTAACCCGAGTGGCGCTCCCAGCTCTATCCCAAGCGATTCCCCATCTGTCAGTTCCAGTCCCAGTAGATCGCCAAGCTTCAACCCCAGTACAAGTCAGCTGCCCAGCAGTTCCCCCAGTGTCAGCCCTAGCAGCTTTCCCAGTGCTATCCCAAGCAGCAATCCTACATTGAGTCTTGTGCCCAGTGACATACCCAGCTCTGGCCCCAGCAGAAGCCAGAATCCGACCATTGATCCCAGCTCCAACCCGAGTGGCGCTCCCAGCTCTATCCCAAGCGATTCCCCATCTGTCAGTTCCAGTCCCAGTAGATCGCCAAGCTTCAACCCCAGTACGAGTCAGCTGCCCAGCAGTTCCCCCAGTGTCAGCCCTAGCAGCTTTCCCAGTGCTATCCCAAGCAGCAATCCTACATTGAGTCTTGTGCCCAGTGACATACCCAGCTCTGGTCCCAGCAGAAGCCAGAATCCGACCATTGATCCCAGCTCCAACCCGAGTGGCGCTCCCAGCTCTATCCCAAGCGATTCCCCATCTGTCAGTTCCAGTCCCAGTAGATCGCCAAGCTTCAACCCCAGTACAAGTCAGCTGCCCAGCAGTTCCCCCAGTGTCAGCCCTAGCAGCTTTCCCAGTGCTATCCCAAGCAGCAATCCTACATTGAGTCTTGTGCCCAGTGGTATACCCAGCTCTGGCCCCTGCAGAAGCCAGAATCCGACCATTGATCCCAGCTCCAACCCGAGTGGCGCTCCCAGCTCTATCCCAAGCGATTCCCCATCTGTCAGTTCCAGTCCCAGTAGATCGCCAAGCTTCAACCCCAGTACAAGTCAGCTGCCCAGCAGTTCCCCCAGTGTCAGCCCTAGCAGCTTTCCCAGTGCTATCCCAAGCAGCAATCCTACATTGAGTCTTGTGCCCAGTGCCATACCCAGCTCTGGCCCACAAAGCAGAATCCGACCATGATCCCAGCTTGTAACCCAGTGGCGCTCCCAGCTTCTATCCAAGTCGATCCCCATCCTGTCAGCTTCGCACCCAGTCCCAGTAGATCGACAAGCTTCAACCCCAGTACGAGTCAGCTGACCAGCAGTTCCCCCAGTGTCAGCCCTAGCATCTTTCCCAGTGCTATCCCAAGCATCAATCCTACATTGAGTCTTGTGCCCAGTGACCTACCCAGGGCAGCAGAAGCCAGAAATCCCCACACACCCTACATTGATCCAAGCTTTAAAACCCGAGTGGCGCTCCCAGCTCTATCCCAAGCGATTCCCCATCTGTCAGTTCCAGTCCCAGTAGATCGCCAAGCTTCAACCCCAGTACGAGTCAGCTGCCCAGCAGTTCCCCCAGTGTCAGCCCTAGCAGCAATCCTACATTGAGTCTTGTGCCCAGTGACATACCCAGCTCTGGCCCCAGCAGAAGCCAGAATCCGACCATTGATCCCAGCTCCAACCCGAGTGGCGCTCCCAGCTCTATCCCAAGCGATTCCCCATCTGTCAGTTCCAGTCCCAGTAGATCGCCAAGCTTCAACCCCAGTACGAGTCAGCTGCCCAGCAGTTCCCCCAGTGTCAGCCCTAGCAGCAATCCTACATTGAGTCTTGTGCCCAGTGCCATACCCAGCTCTGGCCCCGGCAGAAGCCAGAATCCGACCATTGATCCCCGCTCCAACCCGAGTGGCGATCCCAGCTCTATCCCAAGCGATTCACCATCTGTAAGTTTCAGCCCGTAGATACGCCAAGCTTCAAGCCCAGCACTAGCCAGCTGCCCAGCAGTTCCCCCAGTGTCAGCCCTAGCAGCTCTCCCAGTGCTATCCCAAGCAGCAATGCTACATTGAGTCTTGTGCCAGTGACATAGCCCAGCTCCGGCCCCAGCAGAAGCCAGAATCCGACCATAGATCCCAAGCTCCAACCGAGTGCCGCTCCCAGCTCTATCCCAAGCGATTCCCCATCTGTCAGTTCCAGTCCCAGTAGATCGCCAAGCTTCAACCCCAGTACGAGTCAGCTGCCCAGCAGTTCCCCCAGTGTCAGCCCTAGCAGCTTTCGCCCAGGTGCTAATCTCCAAGCAGCAATCCTACGAGTCGAGGAGATTGAGTCTTGTGCCCAGTGCCATACCCAGCTCTGGCCCCAGCAGAAGCCAGAATCCGACCATTGATCCCAGCTCCAACCCGAGTGGGGCTCCCAGCTCTATCCCAAGCGATTCCCCATCTGTCAGTTCCAGTCCCAGTAGATCGCCAAGCTTCAACCCCAGTACAAGTCAGCTGCCCAGCAGTTCCCCCAGCTCCAGTCCTAGCCAGTTCCCGAGTAGTGCTCCAAGTTATATTCCAAGCAATTTCCCTAGTTCGAGTCCAAGCACTGCCATTGATAACAATGCTGAGCTGCAGACAGAAATCAATACTTGGATTGACACTGGAACTTCTCAGTATGGGCACATTTCCACTTGGGATGTTTCCAGGGTGGATAACTTCTCCAATTTGTTTTCGGGTAAAACGTCCTTCGATGAGGATATCTCAGGATGGAGCACTGGCCAGGTTACAAAAATGAGATACATGTTCAACAATGCAGGCCAGTTTAACCGGAACATTGGTGGTTGGTAAGTTGTGGATACCTCGATATGGCAGACACACTGATGTTACCATTTCCTTATCAGTTTTCCTTCATTGATACACCAGGGATACCTCCAATGTGGAATCTTTTGAGGGCATGTTCTTTGGTGCAGCTCAATTTGACCAAAATATTGGGGGTTGGAACACTGCAAAGGTGTCAAATCTTGCAGCCATGTTCCAAGGAGCAACATCGTTCAATCAAGCTTTGCAAAATTGGGATATTGGTCAAGTCTCTACACTTGGAAGTACTTTCTATCAAGCGACTTCCTTTAATGGGGACATTGCTCTGTGGGATACTAGAAAGGTCTCAACGTTGCAAAATACCTTCTTTGGTGCTCAGACATTCAACTCAAACATTGCTTCCTGGGACACAGTCCTTGTCACAAGTTTGGACAGTACTTTCTATGGTGCCAGTGCCTTCAACATTGACATTAATGGCTGGAATACTGCTGAAGTGCTCAGTATGAGCCAAACTTTTCGAGCTGCCGCAGCCTTCAACCGAGGGCTCAATGGATGGAACACAGCAAAAGTGACTGCCATTAATGGCATGTTTCAACAGGCCACTGGCTTTGGTCAAGACCTGAACAACTGGGACACAGGAAACATTCTTCTAATGTGGAACACATTTGGTGGAGCCTCATCTTTTAACGGAGATATTTCCAGCTGGGATGTCTCAAAGGTCACCACATTCTGGAATATGTTCAACTGGGCCACAGCCTTCAATTCTGACATCTCTGGTTGGGATACATCGAGTGCTGAACACATTGGTGATATGTTTCATGACGCATCAAGTTTCAACATCAATATTGGTAGCTGGGATGTCTCGCGCATTGGATCACTTGCTAACACCTTTGCAAACGCATATGCCTTCAACCAGCCAATGGGAGGCTGGGATGTCAGTGGAGTAACAACATTTCACAGAGCGTAAGTTATTGTGCAAGTTCAATTTATTGAGTGGAACAATTTGCCGTCCCTAAGAATTTCTTTCTTCTTTTCACAGGTTCTTTCAAGCCAGTGCCTTCAACCAGAATCTTTGTGCTTGGAATGATCACATCAGCCCTACTGCAGACATGGGGAGTTCTACATTTTTTGGTACTAGCTGTGAGTCAAAGGAGACACCACAACTCTATGGATCATATTGGGGTCCGTTGTGTTCGATGAGTTGTGTGCCCAGTTATGCTCCAAGCATGGTTCCAAGTGGTACCCCCAGTTCTAGACCAAGCTCCGTCCCAAGTTTTTCTCCCAGTTCTGTTCCTAGTGCTAGCCCTGTCCCTAGTTTAGCACCAAGCCAATCTCCTAGTTTTGCCATTGATGACAGAGATGAGCTGTTGGCAGAAATAACTACTTGGATCAGCACAGGCTCATCTCAATATGGCAACATCTCAACATGGGATGTTTCCAGGGTGACTGACTTTACAAGGCTTTTTCAGCACCAAGCATCATTTAACGATGACATTGGAAGCTGGGAGACTGGCCAAGTCATTAAAATGGAAAGCACCTTCAGGGAAGCTCATGCTTTCAACCAAGACCTGAACTCATGGAACACAGAGCGGGTGACTGAAATGAGCAGCATGTTTTTTGGTGCAAGGGCTTTTGCAGGAGATGTATCAAGCTGGGATACTTCAAAAATCTTAAGCATGTACAACATGTTTCGGGACGCCTATGCCTTCAACTCAGATATCAGTGGCTGGGACGTGTCAAGAGTCCAGTCCCTCCTGCGAGCGTTTTATAATGCTCAGGCATTCAATGTCAATATCGGGGGTTGGGACACTGGCAACGTGGTTTCAATGAAGGAAACGTTTCAATTTGCATCCAGCTTTGACCAGCCAATTGGAGGATGGGCAACAACAAAGGTGACAGACATGACCAACACATTCCGACATTGTCCCTCTTTTGATCAAGACCTGGGCAACTGGGATACCGCAAATGTTGAAACATTTGAAGGCATGTTCAGTTTGGCGAACTCATTCAATCACAATATCGGTGGATGGAAGACATCATCAGCAACAAATCTGGAAAACACCTTCAATGGGGCTGCATCCTTTAACGCTGACATCAGTGGCTGGGACACATCGAAAGTAGCAACTCTAAAGCAGACCTTTCAAGGAGCATCAGCCTTTAACCTGCCCCTCGATGCATGGGATGTGGGCCAGGTTGTATCATTTGACAGCACGTACGTTCCATTTCGTGTTTGATTTCAATGCCTGTTTACTTCTCGACAAACCTAACTTATCTGTTTTACTGTGGCAGGTTTCAAAATGCTCTGAACTTCAATCAAAACCTCTGTGATTGGAGTGTCCATATCAAGTCAGACGCAATTTTTGCATTCACTTTTGGGGGTACTAACTGTGAATCTACTGACACTCCTCAACTCTATGGATCAAGTTGGGGCCCACTCTGTTCTACGGGTTGCGTGCCTAGCTCTGCTCCAAGCATGGTTCCAAGTGTTCCTCCCAGTTTCACTCCAAGCTCTGCTCCAAGCTCTGCTCCAAGCGATTCACCCACATCTAGTGTTAAACCCAGTGGACACCCCAGTTTTGAGCCAAGCACAAGCCAGCTACCCAGCAGTCTTCCTAGTGGAACTCCCAGCACTAGCCAGCTACCCAGCAGTATCCCCAGTGATTTCCCCAGTAATTTCCCAAGCCGCTCACCCAGTTCTAGTCCAAGTATTGCCATTGATGACAGAGATGAGCTGTTGGCAGAAATAACTACTTGGATCAGCACAGGCTCATCTCAATATGGCAACATCTCAACATGGGATGTTTCAGGGTGACTGACTTTACAAGGCTTTTTCAGCACCAAGCATCATTTAACGATGACATTGGAAGCTGGGAGACTGGCCAAGTCATTAAAATGGAAAGCACCTTCAGGGAAGCTCATGCTTTCAACCAAGACCTGAACTCATGGAACACAGAGCGGGTGACTGAAATGAGCAGCATGTTTTTTGGTGCAAGGGCTTTTGCAGGAGATGTATCAAGCTGGGAAACTTCAAAAATCTTAAGCATGTACAACATGTTTCGGGACGCCTATGCCTTCAACTCAGATATCAGTGGCTGGGACGTGTCAAGAGTCCAGTCCCTCCTGAGAGCGTTTTATAATGCTCAGGCATTCAATGTCAATATCGGGGGTTGGGACACTGGCAACGTGGTTTCAATGAAGGAAACGTTTCAATTTGCATCCAGCTTTGACCAGCCAATTGGAGGATGGGCAACAACAAAGGTGACAGACATGACAAACACATTCCGACATTGTCCCTCTTTTGATCAAGACCTGGGCAACTGGGATACCGCAAATGTTGAAACATTTGAAGGCATGTTCAGTTTGGCGAACTCATTCAATCACAATATCGGTGGATGGAAGACATCATCAGCAACAAATCTGGAAAACACCTTCAATGGGGCTGCTCCTTTAACCTGACATCAGTGGCTGGGACACATCGAAAGTAGCAACTCTAAAGCAGACCTTTCAAGGAGCATCAGCCTTTAACCTGCCCCTCGATGCATGGGATGTGGGCCAGGTTGTATCATTTGACAGCACGTACGTTCCATTTCGTGTTTATTTCAATGCCTGTTTACTTCTCGACAAACCTAACTTATCTGTTTACTGTGGCAGGTTTCAAAATGCTCTGAACTTCAATCAAAACCTCTGTGGTTGGAGTGTCCATATCAAGTCAGACGCAATTTTTGCAAGTACTTTTGGGGGTACTAACTGTGAGTCTACTGACACTCCTCAACTCTATGGATCAAGTTGGGGCCCACTCTGTTCTACGGGTTGCGTGCCTAGCTCTGCTCCAAGCATGGTTCCAAGTGTTCCTCCCAGTTTCACTCCAAGCTCTGCTCCAAGCTCTGCTCCAAGCGATTCACCCACATCTAGTGTTAAACCCAGTGGACACCCCAGTTTTGAGCCAAGCACAAGCCAGCTACCCAGCAGTCTTCCTAGTGGAACTCCCAGCACTAGCCAGCTACCAGCAGTATCCCCAGTGATTTCCCCAGTAATTTCCCAAGCCGCTCACCCAGTTCTAGTCCAAGTATTGCCATTGATGACAGAGATGAGCTGTTGGCAGAAATAACTACTTGGATCAGCACAGGCTCATCTCAATATGGCAACATCTCAACATGGGATGTTTCCAGGGTGACTGACTTTACAAGGCTTTTTCAGCACCAAGCATCATTTAACGATGACATTGGAAGCTGGGAGACTGGCCAAGTCATTAAAATGGAAAGCACCTTCAGGGAAGCTCATGCTTTCAACCAAGACCTGAACTCATGGAACACAGAGCGGGTGACTGAAATGAGCAGCATGTTTTTTGGTGCAAGGGCTTTTGCAGGAGATGTATCAAGCTGGGATACTTCAAAAATCTTAAGCATGTACAACATGTTTCGGGACGCCTATGCCTTCAACTCAGATATCAGTGGCTGGGACGTGTCAAGAGTCCAGTCCCTCCTGAGAGCGTTTTATAATGCACAGGCATTCAATGTCAATATCGGGGGTTGGGACACTGGCAACGTGGTTTCAATGAAGGAAACGTTTCAATTTGCATCCAGCTTTGACCAGCCAATTGGAGGATGGGCAACAACAAAGGTGACAGACATGACAAACACATTCCGACATTGTCCCTCTTTTGATCAAGACCTGGGCAACTGGGATACGCAAATGTTGAAACATTTGAAGGCATGTTCAGTTTGGCGAACTCATTCAATCACAATATCGGTGGATGGAAGACATCATCAGCAACAAATCTGGAAAACACCTTCAATGGGGCTGCATCCTTTAACGCTGACATCAGTGGCTGGGACACATCCAAAGTACAACTCTAAGCAGACCTTTAAGGAGCACAGCCTTTAACCTGCCCCTCGATGCATGGGATGTGGGCCAGGTTGTATCATTTGACAGCACGTACGTTCCATTTCGTGTTTAATTTCAATGCCTGTTTACTTCTCGACAAACCTAATTTGTCTGTTTTACTGTGGCAGGTTTCAAAATGCTTTGAACTTCAATCAAAACCTCTGTGATTGGAGTGTCCATATCAAGTCAGACGCAATTTTTGCAAGCACTTTTGGGGGTACTAACTGTGAATCTACTGACACTCCTCAACTCTATGGATCAAGTTGGGGCCCACTCTGTTCTACGGGTTGCGTGCCTAGCTCTGCTCCAAGCATGGTTCCAAGTGGTACCCCCAGCTCTAGACCAAGCTCCGTCCCAAGTTTTTCTCCCAGTTCTGTTCCTAGTGCTAGCCCTGTCCCTAGTTTAGCACCAAGCTCTGCTCCAAGCATGGCTCCAAGTGTTCCTCCCAGTTCCAGACCAAGCTCCATCCCAAGTTTTTCTCCTAGTTCCGATCCTAGTGCTGTCCCGACCGCCACACCAACAGAGCCACCTACGATGCCTCCAACCCAACAGCCTACGTACCCTCCAATCAACAGTAAGTCGGATCTGGAAGCAGCAATTACCACTTGGTCAAGCACAGGATCATCAATCTATGGCCCCATCGGGAACTGGAATGTCTCCCAAGTGAATAATTTCTATGGTCTGTTCTTGGGCAATTCAGCCTTTAATGATGATATTTCAGGATGGCAAACATCGCAGGTCACGGATATGTCATATATGTTTTATGGTGCAAGAGGTTTTAACCAAGATTTGGCAACTTGGTAAGTTGGATTCTGCATCATGGCAAATGCATTGAGAATTGTGGTCGCCTAATCATTTTTTCTCCTTCACTGACTGACACCAGGGATGTGAGCCGTGTCACGACCATGTTGGGAATGTTTCATGATGCAAGAGCTTTTAACCAAGATTTGGCAACTTGGTAAGTTGGATTCTGCATCATGACAAATACATTGAAAATTGTGGTCGCCAATTAATTTTGCTTCACCGATACACCAGGGATGTGAGCAGTGTCACCTCCACATATTCGATGTTTGCTTATACACAAGCTTTTAAACAAGATTTAGCAACTTGGTAAGTTGGCTTCTGCGTCATGGGAAATACGTTGTAAATTGTGGTTGCCTAATCCTTTTCCCCCCTTCACTGACACACCAGGGATGTGAGCCGTGTTTTGGACATGTCGTTTATGTTTCATAATGCACCAGGTTTTAACCAAGATTTAGCAACTTGGTAAGTTGGATTCTGCATCATGGCAAATACATTGAAAATTGTGGTCGCCTAATCANNTACTTCACTGACACACCAGGGATGTGAGCCGTGTTACCAATATGGGGCAAATGTTTTATAACGCACAAGCTTTTGACAAAGATTTGTCAAATTGGTAAGAGGGTTTCTACATCATGGCAAATAGATTGAAAAATTGTGGTTGCCTAATCAGTTTGGTTCATCGACACTCCAGGGATGTGAGCCGTGTCACCACCATGATTGAAATGTTTTTTGGTGCACAAGCTTTCAACCAAGACTTGTCAAATTGGTAAGTTGGTTTCTACATCATGACAAATAGATTTGAAAATTTTCAGTTCCCTAATCAATTTTGCGTCACCGACACTCCAGGGATGTCAGCGGTGTCTTCTGGTTTCGGCAGATGTTTAATGGAGCATCTGCCTATAATACAAATCTATGTGCTTGGTCGGACAAAATACAAACTCATGACATGGGAAGCATGTTCTCTGGGACTGGCTGCCCAGAGCAAGCATCTCCAAGCTTCATTGCACCCAATTTGGTGAGCCCATTGTGTAACGTTTGTAGCATTTCGGTGAGTCCACGCATTTTTCCTAGTTCAAATCCAAGCGAATCTCCAAGCATGGTTCCAAGTGGTACTCCCAGTTCCAGACCAAGCTCCATCCCAAGTTTTTCTCCTAGTTCCTAGTGCTGTCCCGACCACCACACCAACAGAACCACCTACGATGTCTCCAACAGAACCTCCAACGGTTCCACCAACGGAACCACCAACGATGCCTCCAACAGAACCGCCGACAAACCCACCGACGGAACTGCCTACGATGCTTCCAACCCAACAGCTTACGTACCTTCCAATCAATAGCAAGTCGGACCTGGAAGCAGCAATTGCCACTTGGACCAGCACAGGATCATCAATTTATGGCCCCATCGGAAGCTGGGATGTCTCCAGAGTGACTGATTTTTCTGGTCTGTTTCAAAGCAATGATCACTTTGATGATGATATTTCAGGATGGCAAACAGGGCAGGTCACCACAATGCGGGAAATGTTTTATGGTGCAAGAGGTTTTAACCAAGATTTGTCAAATTGGTAAGTTGGATCCTGCGTCATGGCAAATACATTGAAACTTGTGGTCGCCTAATAATTTTTGCTTCACTGACACACCAGGGATGTGAGCGGTGTTACCGACATGTCGTCTATGTTTTTTCGGGCAACTTCCTTTGATCAAAATCTATGTCAGGGTTGGTCGGGCACAATAGGCCTTCACGCAATTTTTCTCCAAAACATGTTCACAGGGACTGCATGTCCAGACACTTGTGACACAAGGTTTCTTCAGGCAGGGGGTTGGGTGGTTGACCCACTCTGTTACGCTTGTGCTGCGCGTACTGAAGGACAGTTTGATTGTATTGTCTGATACCATGTGGCCCCACAGAACAAGATTTAGGTGAACTAGACCCCCTTTTTGGGTGACTGGTGAAACATGAGAACGAAGACGACGATCAGCCACTAACTACATATCACAAACATGTTCCCGCCGCTCTAGCTAGCTAGTCTTGGGAGTTTTGATGGTCAGCCTTCTGTAGTTCTCGTATTCGGGCGGTACTAGATTGGTCGATACCGGTACGTGCTGCAAGCACCAATGACCAATAAGAAGCACAGTGCAAACGAATTTGCTTCGACGATGGCAAACGACTATCATACTTGCTTTCACGTTGCCATGTAGAAAGAGTGGGGCATGCATACTGTACTGCTGCTGGCAAATACAATGATTGCCAACTCGGGCATCTTTGGCCACGGTGTTTTGTCTCCTCGAGTTCCCTTTTTTGTTTCAGGGTCTTCAGAGATGGTGGCGTGTCTGTTCCAATGCCAAGAATGTTGTGGCAACCTGGCTAGCTAGCTACTGTTGAGTTTATTTTTAAAAGAACTAACTAGGACATTGAATCCGAATGGAATCCGTAGATTGTAGGCGATTTGTTGATGAAAATGTGATAAACTAGACCATTCAGGGAGATTTTCACCAACTGGGGTGCGGTTGTCTGCGATCGAGGCAGGCCACATTGGGAACGAGGTTCCTGTGGCGTCGGGATTGGCGGTTGGGGCATTTTGAGGTGGAGGTGGCAAGCATGGCATGAGCTGATCGAGGCAGCCAACACCTACAAGGTTGGCAACCGTTCCACGGAGGTGCCTTGGAAGGCTTTGCGGCTCCACGCGGTAGCGTGACCAGTAAATCTAGTTCCAGAAAGATTTGGAGCAGCGTTGTCAAAGGAGTTGGAAGACTGTCGAGTGAGAGATCATAACAAAATCAATCCAAGCAGCAGAATGGAGTTGCTGGTATGACATGACGTGTAAGCCGATTCTGATCAAGCAGGAGCATGGTGCAACCAGGAGGAAAGTCACCAAGGGGAAACGAGATCCAGTGGCATCATGGCTGAGCCATCATCCTCCTGAGCGGCCAGTAAAAGTCGCAGAGCATGTCCTACTGTCTACCGGATGGGAGAGGCAACTCTCGGGTCGAGTTTCGATTGAATCGAATCGTTCGGGTCGATTCTTGAGGACGGGAAACACAATCCATAAACTATTCGTGTTACTTACGAAACCGTATCACAAGTCGCCTCGATCAGTAATGGTACTTGGCAGGAGTTGTCTAAAAACGAGACTATCAAGGACATGCCCAAGCCTCCCATTCCCATCATTTAAGCTCAAACTATGCATATACTCTTATTATCTCATGGTCGAGATGGCCGGAGCGTTGTATTGCTTAGGTTGTTACGGTATTGGTGAAGTAGATATATAGTGTTGCGTTGACTGAGCGCCCACTCAGCGATTGGATGGGATATGAGTGGCGTTGAGTGACTCGTCAGAGGCGAATACAGACTCATTGCAGTCAGTGGGACCCGGCACTGTGTGTGTTGCCATCGTGCGATTGCCTTCCAGGCAGAGAAAACGAAAGGTTGTATCGAATGATATCATTCAATCCGGAATACGGTAGCAAGTACCAGTACCAGGTAGCAGAGACCAGGTATCGGTATGTCATAGGTAGAATAGCAAGCTATCGGTCATGGATGACCTCTTAACCGTACCAGGTACCTGGAATTGTGTACTGTTGTGCATGCTACGCGAGTTAGTGGGAGGAAGGACTGTGACTGGAGACCGCACTATGGCTGCGCAGTAGAATATGAGGCAAAGTACCCAGCCAGGAAGCAACTGCTTCCTATATAGTGAAATCAACTAATTAAGCCTTTGGCCTTGAGATTTACCATCAAAAATTTTGCGGGATTGCGCTCCAGCACCTGTTTCAGCTCTCAAGCTCTCACAATATCAAAGAAGATGAGGTAATTATGGGGATAAATGTATGATCTATTTCAGAGCTTTTAAATGGAGAATTTATCTTCCCACACCTACCTGAACCACAAAGCTCGACCTTGGTAAAAAATGAGTCGAGTCGAGTGAGTCAATTAAAAAAACAAAGAACAATCGATACCAAGTCAACACGTTCCTCACTGTTCTTATTGGGATCTTGATGTACTGAAAAGTGATACTCCAATACCAGGGTCTGAGCAGTCTTTTCATGAACACGTGTGGATGTTAGAAGTTAGAAGGACGAAACAACAACTTTCGAGCCCTCATGAAATCGACCATCCATCCATCGCACCGCAGATTTCTTTCGATTTGTTTGTCATAACCAGCGACCATGAGCTTCAACAGCACAACCACTGCGCCTCTCTCGCTCACCATGAGCTTGGAAGAACTGGTCTCGTTCAAGCGTCCCACTTTTGCTCATTGGAGGACTCTGGAAGCAGAATACTACGCCGAAATATTCGACACTCTGGTGCACTATGACAAACCGTTCCGTTGGTTTGATGTCCACAACATGTTCTACACCGCCACCAACTTGTACATGATTTACACTACACAACGCTACACTCGACCTGCAGCTGAGACAGCGCTGCAACGGCGTCTGTTGGTGCTTGTGAATTTCATGCAATTGGGTGGGTTGGCGTGGCATTTCTACGAGTGTGCCTTTGACGACGCTTGTTTGGTCCACGTGGGTGGCACTCTCTTTGTGTCCTTGATGCTGCAGCAAATGTGGGAAGGAGGAAAGCGCTTGTTCTGGTCTCACACCGTCGTCATGGTGGCCGCCATAGTCATTCTCGTGGGAGTGGAGAATCATGACCCAACCGATCCAAGCTTTCATCTACGACATTGGATTGGTCATATTCTGGAAACCACACTAGTCTGCCTCTTGCGTGGAATGTTTGAGGCAAACTACAGACATCGCCAGCTACAACGACATCAGCAATCGCAAAAGCCAAACAAAAACGCGCTCAAAGTCGAGTAGAAACCAACCACAACCCCAGTGGAAGCAAATCTACCACCGCTTTCCTCTGGCTGGAGGGCCAACAGCCCCACATGGAAGAAAACCACACTTCATCAGCCATTTTTGTCATTACATGTACTATATTACATAAATGAAAAATTTATACTCTGCTAGCTATCCAGACAAGTTTTCGTAGCGCAGCCGAGTAAAGCTGATCACACAGAAGCAGCCAGTGTTTTCAAAAACTACCTTGGGATTGAGACCGAGACTTTCGGTAAAAACCGAGTTGACTCGACTCGCCTCTGATTTAAGCGCCCGCACTGCGCTTCTTGGATTCGATTAGATAGATTCGTTGGACCGATCAGTGACTTCTTTCTTGCCTTCCTTGCAAGGAACTGAATAAAAATGTGGGCTAGCCCGGCCTGCTTAGTCCAAGGCTGCTAGCTAGGTAGCTTGCTTGTTGAACACTGTCTCCAACGCTAACTTACTATTTGCTGGAGTATTTGTTGCATAAAAGATTGCCCACTATGCGAACCTTTGGTTGGGGCAGAAGCGGAGGAAAGTTGTTCTTCTCTGTCGCCTCAACAACATGCAATTGCCCTTGTGAAAGCTACCCATTTATGTCTCGGTGGATCTCGCAAAGCCAAACCATTTGGCCCCCGTAATGGTCCTCACTTTCTTGCCCCTGATCCCACAGAACCTAGCTAGTCCTGAATTTCAACTGTTCTTTGCTTGAGGCTGGCCCCGGCTGGCTTCCGTAGATAATTACCCTACTCTAAACCCCCGTTTGTGACAGCCCGCGCTCTGCTCTAGAAATACAAATCGATGGATCATTCGATTTGTTGCCAAACTTCAATCGATTCGATTGATCAATCGAATGTTTCAATGCAGAACGCGGGACATCGACAATGAGGATAGAGTCGATTCCATGATTCAAGCAAGGAGCGGCAACAAACACCATGGTGATGAACGGATTGCTGTTCTTTATGCATCTCACGTGCAACTGGTGTGCTCATATGAGGATTGATGATGACATCCATCTCAATTAGAGATTATTAACGTTTTCCCAGTTCAACTGGAAAAGGCATTGCCTACAGGCTTGATGCGGGGATGGGACACCTTGGTGGCATAGCATATGGCAATGGGTACACTTTCAGCCTACTATGAACAGCTACACTCGTATTATGAACTCCCATTCAAGAGAGGAATGGCAAACGAAATGATACAGGCTGCATGTGGCTGCCGATGGTTTCTTGTTGCTGATGTTGTTGTACAGTATCAAGCCGCTCCGCTGGACTTTTGCATAAGCATCCCCTCCGCCTTTCCGCTTCGCCGAGCTCAGCGCGCAACATTGATTTTTCTGGGCAACTCTGCTCTTCTTTACAAGTTGCCTCAGGCGAAATGTGGACAACTTGTGGACCCATACCAAATGTCAGTAATCCACTTCAGGAGGTGCAAGTAATTGTCTACGCCAGAGGCCAGAGGAGTGCATCATCGCGCTGCTATTGAATGCCCCGGATCTTCTCAGGCAGCTTTGGCTGTGCACCCACAAGACATTGACAACAGGAAGCCCCGACGACCTCGCCGAAACACGCCGCAACGCTCGCAATGAATGGATAGTGGTGTAACCTGCTGTTGGCTGACCATTGACCATCCATGTCAAGGTTGTGGATGGTTCTATCTCCTCCCCGGCCACGGGAACTGATGTCTTGTTGAGCATTTACTGGCTTTTCTCCAGCTACTTTGCATGAAAGGGACGCTAACTATTAGCTAGCTAGTAGTCTTTTTGCGACGTCCTGCTTGGGCTGTTTTTGCTGCAGTTGGTCCTGACTGAGTCAATCTGTTGTATCCCTTGCATGTCATTAGGATGCTTCCGGGAGTCCCCGACTTGCGGGAGATTTCATCTGGGGCCAAGGAGTGTTCAATTCAACAACACGCGACTACGAGTAATACATATTTGAACCCGTAAGTCAACAAGGTGGCAAACGATCCGGGTTCCGATTTACGGGTGAGCATCATTTCAAAATTGTGCAGCAATGCTCGCGAGAACAGCCCAGGAACTGTCGCTCGGAAGCAATCCTCGACTCTTTTGGGTTGGTCGCAGATATCTTCCCAGGCGCAACCAGTGAGAGTACAGAGCTGCAAGTCATCCATCAAAGCACGGCAATGAGCCATGACTGGCCTCAATATCTCAAGCTTACTCCATCTCGCAAGATCGACGACACCGAGTCATACGATGGGATTGCTTGCCAGGCAGCATGCAACTTGAAGCGCCGAATGATTCAATCAGGCCCCGACCGCAAACAAAACCGTCCACCACTTCAATCATAAAATCATTACAAAAACAAAAACAAAAACAAAACTCCAGTAAACAAACAAACACTATACTTTGCAAAATGAGCTCACATACACTTCCCTCCTTTCCACTGCTGCTCGCTTTTGGTGTGGGCATGCACACCCTCATTGCATACGGCACCTTTTCCTTTTCCAGGGAGAAGCTCTCCAGTTATGTTACCATTGAGAGCTCCTACCAGTTTGATATCATTATAAATGTCCTTTATATGGTTGCCATTGATGCAGTGCTGTCAATCCTCCAACTTGACCGAAACAGCATTCGCCAATGGCATTGGAAAATCAACACTACCTTGTCTGTTACATTGCTGATCTACCAATTTGGTGGAGACTACAAGATATCCAGCTCTGTCATCTTTGCTCTCCTGATGGCTGGAATATACTACCGATTCAAGGATGCCAACCAAACTGCTTATTTGGTTGGTTTGGTCAAGTATCTAAAAGGAGGCGATGACTATAATGACATCACCATTGGCAGAAACTTCAAGTACTTTCTGCTGACTGTTTGTGAGGTTATCGTGATCTACAATGGATATTTCTTCTTCCTCTCCCCATTGCTGTTTGTGATTATCGATGCAGTATGGAACCGTGTTACTGGAGTACCCAGGACAAAGATCTCGGACTACTATGTGTCTGTGTTTACTGCCAGCATGGACACTGGTTTGTGGGTTGCATTGCTTGGAGTTGACACTATGCCTGACATGCATTGGCAAATGGCTTTGGGGGCTTTTGTCATCTACCACATTGGCCTCTCTGTGCTGCTGCTGGTCAACAACAGTGTCATCTGGCAGTCTTTCAACTTGATCAACAACAAGTACAGATACATGTCAATGCTGGCATTCTTCCTTGTCTCTGCGAATGCGGGGTCACATGGGCACAGGGTCTTCGTCTTCTTGTTCAATCTGCTTTCCAATGTATTGTTTATGTATCTTTCTGCCCCAATTGTTCCATACTTCTTGACTGGAACCAAATACAGCGACAAGGAAGCTGGCAAGGAACAGCTTGTTATCAAATTCAAATCTGTATAATTGGTTGGATGACTTTTCACTGTGGTCTGTTTCCACTTGGATTCCATGATCCAAAGAAGGAATGGACAGTAGACTAAATGTAATAGAGAAAACATTGCATAACCTTTCGTCTTGAGCTTCTGGCTTCCCACCATGACAAATCTGTGCCACGAGGGACACGGGGGTCAATGTACCTGGTCCACATCCTTTCGTCTTGGGCCCTGCCAGAGGGAAGCGGCTATGGGTCCTCTGGGACGACAGCGACTTGTACAGGTATGCCACCGTGGCTACTTCATGCGGCTGCATCTTTTTTATGGTCTTTCTGACAGACGTGCCATCGCAAACGCTGCATCCCAACACGTACTGTATACAGCTCAGGGGTTTGGCATCCAGGTTGGTTTGGGGGCTACCCTTTACAACGCGTTACAAGCGGCTGTCTCTCTAGCAACCATACGATATGGAGCCAGTCTTACTACGTTCGCCTGAAGCATGAACCAGGGTGCCACGTCTTTGCAAATGTGGTTTCTATGGTCTTGTCTATACCATCCTTGATGCCAAGCCTCTCTATGTACAACCCGGCTGAACTCTGGTGTTTCAGTGCCCGCGAACCACCCGATTGCCTCCAGTCATATCAAAACAATGGAGTCGCTACGTGCGTCCGCGGCGACAACGCCTTCCTCTATCGCGTTGGGTTGTTTTATGCGCCTCTTTGCATGGTCTTGCATCGTATTCAGCATAATTGCGACAATCCTCCTCTACACTACCGTCGGAGAGGCGGAAAGGAAAAGCAACAAGTGCGTTATAGCTGCTAGCGGGCGCCCAAGCTTCGTCAAATCGCAACAGATTGCTCATCAGGCACTTCACTACATCCTTGCCTTCCTCTTGACGTGGACGTTCCCCACCCTGCATCGAATGCTGGCGTTTGCTGGGTAGGAAAACTTTTGGATATCCTTTGGGCATGTTTTCTTTGATCCAGGCCAGGGATTCTGCAACTTCTTCATTTACATCAGTCCTCGCTACCTCGTCAATCTGAAGAAGCAACGAAAAACATATCACGACAGGACCACGGGGAGAACGGTGCTACTGGAGTGATCGAGGCAAGTAATGATCTTGAATTGTCGCTGTCCTTCTTTTCCAAGTGCAAGGTAGTGTTTTCAACTATGCAGTCTCTCAGCGGCGTCGCTCAGGGCGATTTCAATTGTGACAACTGCAGCGCGATACCCCACCCGAAAGCAAAAACGGTACAGACGCAGATTCCGACTCCGAGTCGGCCAATGGGGCCACAAGTATTGAACAAACATACACAATAGTCAGTTCGCGTTGTCAGTCTAGCCAAAGCTTTGTCTGTGCTCCGGAGGATAAGGGTCTATCCCTAAGCATGGTGGATACAGCTTATACCACGGGGGTGGTAACCACCTACATATAGCTACTACTTGGGAGGCATTACGAGTTAGATCTTGGTTAGAATAGCTGGCTAGAAGAGAATTGCTGACGCCCAATATGGCCGCCAAGGTGGAAACAGACCGCAACGATTCGTCGGCAAGGATGTCGTCGTAGGATGCTCGGTGCCATCGCGACGAGGATCTGCCCCGCCCAGGTAGCATCCGTTGCTCGTCACTTGGATGACCGAGAGACCACTTTCTTCTCCGCTGCTATCTACATCATGGCAACCAATGCCTGAGCTGTGTACCCAATGATACGAGAGCCGCCCGCGGAGCCAGCCAAGTAGGAGCTTTTGTTATTTTCTTTATCAAGGACCGTCGTGGGGACCATAACAGAACACGGGGGCTTGTTGGGTTGCGTGCGATTGGCAATGGGTAGACCCAAAGTTCGTCAGTTGAGCAAGAAACAACCCACCATAAGCCCACTTCCAAAGTAGTTCTCCACCGTTGTTGTCATCGAAAGAACGTTCCCGTACTGATCAACAATCGAAGTATGACCCGTTCCCTTCTCAAATTTCTTCCTTTGAGGAGCTGTACCTGGTAGCATCGAACGTGCCGGGGGATCCAGGGAGGGCGGTACCCATGTCCTCGCTGAGATCGATTTGACTCGCACGTTCCAGGAGGTATCTTTCATCCAACATACCGCTGACATAACTGTTGAGTGACTCTTCGAGATGCGTAGTTGCTGTTGATTGCAGGACAAACATGTACCAACGAAACGACTTACTCGATCGGCACAGTCACAAATCTGTGTCTGCCACATACTGATTGCGATCCGCAAAAGCAAGACGCATGGCCTGGGTAAACAAGTGAAGCGTCTCAACCACCTGACGTTTGTGCTGAGAGAGATGCAAGCAAGTTTTCCAAGAAGGCCAGCATCTGACCCCACAGTGAGCGCGCCACTTGAGGGATGCCCCATTCCAAACACATTGTACTCGTCGCGGAATGTCTTGCATACGACACAACTGAATAATCCGCCAGGTCCTCAAATGTGATGGTAGAGTCGAGTCTCCCGCAGGGTTGCGGTCATCATTGGCAACAATTGCCTCAGCCAGCGGCCCGGAGTAAAACGTATCTGCTCCGCCTGGGATCAGCAGGTCCAGAGTGTCGATATAGTCTGGATTGTACATGATCGTACCCTCTGGTTTCGGCGTACGGGTGTCCTTGTCGTAGTAAAAACTGAAAACATGTTCGTCGCGAAAGAACAAACGGTCTTCGCATGACGGTTAATAAGAGAGAACTTATCCTTTGCACTCCGCCGGTTCGGGCAGTCTGTTGGTAGCCATTTTAAATAGCGAGTTTCTTTGCATCCTGAAAGAGTTCTTTCCAGGGCAGCTTTCCGCGCTTGCCATTAAGCGTATCCATCAGGCGTGTAACTCAAGGCATACCACCTGAAAGAGCGCTTTGCCAGGCATGGAAAAAGGCAACGTTGTCCACTGATTTGGAACCGAGTCTCTGAAGCCCCACTTGGCGCCTTCTCGCGAGCACCGAAAGAAGTTAAGTTTCCATCCATGTTGAGGAGGCAGAAAGCCCCGTCTTCGACTTGGGTTCCACAAGCTCTCGATCTAGCTAGAGAGCCATCGCGAGGATTTAGCAGGCGGGCTACAGTACGGTACCGGGACTGGTAAGGTACAAAGCTCATGCGACTGGGACTGGCTCGCGTAAGTGCGACTGAAATGGGTTTGACTTGTCTGAGTGTCAGTCAAGTCACTCGACTCACTCGACTCAGCTGTCACCCCAATAGCTACAGTAGAACAGCCGAGCTACCAGTACTGGCAAGAGCGACTTTCACCATCACTGAATTCGAATCTTGGACACCTCCAAAGGGCATTTATTTCCTCCTTGCATGCAAACTAGTCCGGGGTTCACCTGAGGATCCAGTGGCTCAAGCTTGCTATGTTCCGAGCGGTTATAGCAGTCGAGGGAGTATGGGTTGTTGTATGCAATCTAATAAGAAAATATTTCATCTAAGTGTATTCGTACATCATGTATCTAGTCTAGCCTCGTTGCAATCATTGTTGCGAATCCCTCCCTGCGCTGTTCGGTAGTAGTAGTAGTAGTAGTAATAATTGCAAAGTAAGGTATTGGCCCAGGTCGGCCTCTAGCCGTGGAAGATGGAACGGAAGGAATCACTTTGAACATTGCCACCGTTACCCTGTTGTTCGCGGAGCTTTTCCAGTGTCTTCTTTGCGGCTTCCAATACGGACATGTGTTTGGCAGTAGCTTGGAGGGAAAACTTGGTGACTGAGTTCCTTCGCTGGTACGTTCGGTGTCGGCGGTGAGGAGTTTGGAGATCCCGCAAGGAAGGAATGCTAATACTTTCCAATTCGTCGTCGTCGCCGTAGAGATCCTTGTGGCTTGGAGTGGTGCTGTTGGCAGCGGAGGGGTCAAACAGGGGGCTGCTGCAGGTAGAAGCAGGCGTTACATGCAGGCGACGACGTTTGGGAGCAAGAGTCGGAGTCACAATAGCAGCGTCTGATGCAACGAACGCTTTCCTCTTCTGTGTGGCTGGTGGTTCAGGTGAACTGGAATCTGGAGGCGACTGGGTTGCCACGGATGTGGTTCTTTCGTCTGGCACCATCGCGGGCTCTTTGGGCATTGAGGGTTCAGCAAGAGTTGCCTCAGGGCTGATCATGATATTCTGGCTGCTGTTTTCCATGGTGGTGGTGGTTTTTTGTTGTGGCAAGTGGTGAGTACTAGTATTATAGTTTGATGGTGTTTGTGCGTTGCTTTGTGAAATTATGGGAATAGAGTTGGTCAAAATTTCACTTTGTCAGTTGATGCCAGTCCTATGATTATACGAAACCCAGCAACCACTGGCCATGCAAGATCGGAACCTCCTCTGTTGTCTCCTTGCTTTTGTGGGATTGTTTTTGTGTTATCACTCACTTCTGCTGAATCGTACAGAGGTCCGAAAGGTGATCCCTGTGACGCGAAATATTGGATTGTTAGTAAAATTGGCTGTGTTGTTTGGAATGCAACGGTCATCCAAGAACCTGCGCTTTCTCCCGAGTGGCAACCATTGATGTGAATTGTTCATCCCTCTTCTTTACTTCAGAAGCTTCCTTTGTGCTCTTGTTGCCAATGAATTGCCCAGTTTAACGTGGATTAAAGATGAGACGATTGATTCACAGTTGCGTTGGTCATTCATTCGTACTACGTCTCTTTTGAGATCTCCAGTCAGACAGCTGGCTTTAGAAAGGAGGATTCTCGAACTCTAGAAGAGTGTTCTGGTGGAGAAACAACCCTATTAATCATGCTTCATGTAGAGATATAAAGGATGTTAACCTTTGAACTGCGATGATTATGAGTGCAAGAAAAAGCCACATGTCCTCGAAACCTCCTCGCTCCTCGTGACACCTCTCTTGACCACTTTTGTTTGGAAATGTTTTAGGCGACCGGTACCCGTAGCTCTCTAGCTACCAGGTAGTAAGCAGTGAAAAGGAGTTCCACTATACACTGTAGCTAGACTAGACTAGACTAGTCTTCTCCAGTAGAACCAAAAAAGAAGCAAATGCGGCTGAAATGAGCAGCAACCGAACTTCACACAAGAATTGCTGCTTTCTCTGGACCAATTAAGACGATAGCAGGCTCCAAACCAAATCTGATTGACCCAAAGCGAGCAATGGGAAACCCACAACTATGCATTGCAGCATTATAGAACCGGCCTGTGGCTCTTTCTCTGTTGTGTTGGGCCTCCAGGTTTCCATCAATGCCCAGCTATACTAAACATGCAAGTAGCAACTGTGTGGTGGAACTCGTCTACCAGCTTCAACTGTAAGAAGAAGCTACTGCCTGTGCATTGTAGGCCAGACTTCTATTTGGCTTTATTCCATTTCTTGCTGTACAGCAACTCTTGAAGTATGAGGTTCAATTTGGGGGCTATGGCGGCACCCACAGTATAGATCCAGAGGAGCTGCGCCAAAGTCATCATTCGAGCAGACATGGACTTGGCTGACTTAGCAAGCTGGCCCTGTAGACAACAACCACCGCAAATATGTATGCCCTACAAGAATCGACACTTCCGGTCTTCATAGTTTAGAGGTTGCCTTCGGTTCTGGATTGGATTGCAAGCGAGTCAGCAGACAGAAGAACCAGCGACGACTACAAGTAAAACAGTGGGTGGTGGTTTCCCAAACCTACCGGTTGCCGATTTGCTTTGCCAATCTATGCTGACCAATCGTTCAGAGCGGGCAGGTTGTCGGCAACAATCTATGCACAGACCGCATGATCCCTCAGACTTCTACTCCTCTGCACTCCCAACACTTGGTCCTAACCCCTGAAAGCAACATTCGATTTTGGACTGGACATTTCCTTGGCTTCTGATGTATCTTGTATGGGAGGTCTCTCTGGTGGTCCAGCGAGGCCAGTAGATTGAAGGAAGCTTGTGTTTTTAACTGCTGCAAATCCTCCCAGCAGCTCGGATCTCAGCCATCCTCCCTTTCATTGGCTCTTTTGCTCTTTCTGCTACAGGTCCCCAAACCCTTGTTCGCTGCTGTGGACATCGCTACGCCCATAAGGAACTACGGTTGACAGCCAACTTCGGGAACCAACCACCGCCTAAGAAAGAAATGTTGATGTAGGATTTGGTACAGTGATGTTTTTAACACCACTGTACGGCGGAGGCGACCTTACAACCGCAATTATTGTTGCATCTTTCCCGGCCAAAGGGCCTCCTGCCGATATGGCATACGGTAGCTATAGCTAGATCAAGGGTTTTCCTCGCGTTTCAACCGGGTACCGTCGGTGCAGGGTGCCTCCACTGACTGGAGAAACATTGCCAGGTACCCCGTTATCGTCATTCATTTCTTATTGCGGCCGCACGCTGTGACAGACTGAACCGTGAGCTAGCTACCAGTAGCTATTCGTGGCGAGGGCGAGCCTCTCAGCTTGCTCTTTTTTACGTCCCCAAGGTTTGGGCCCACTGTCGAATTTCAACCTGTGACGCGGGGAAGGATATCTCTGATTGAGCAGGATCATGATGGATGTTGGGTCTTTGGAGGACGAGCCACAGCTGGAGGGCTGGTTGTTTTGATGTGCTAAAATAGCCCACGTTCTGGATTGTCACCACTTGATCTAAGTGCGGCTTTCCGTACTTTGCATGCCATTTGTTAACGGCATCGACCGTGGAGTAAGCACGTACCAGTTACGTAACTCTGAAGCGCTGCAAAAACGTGTGGGTGGTACGTACCTCGCTCGGCAAGAAGATAGACCGCATACTGATTAGGAGCTGGGAATAGCTTACCTTATACCTACTGGTACCAAACATACAAGAACTGTAGCTCAAAAGATCTAATCTTTCGGTATCAGCCGTGACAACTTGATTCAAGTCCTAGTCAAAAGCGATTGTGGTTTCATTTGCAACGACAGATCTATGCATAAGGATCACTTCGTGGCAGCCATAATGCAGGAGACTCACGGTCCTTAGAATGCTGTTGCCTTCCTGTAAATCCTGCACGCAAGCTTGTACCGGTGCCTCCATGCTCCACAAACCTCTTTGACCCCACGGAAAAGTGAAGCAAGCTCAATAATCCTTTAGCCAGATAATAAAACTCTGTGTGTTCTTTGCTTCCAAAGGTTCTTCGCCTCCCCGCATGTCATCACTGTAAACGTGCAGCTACCGTGGGCACGCCGACTTCACAAAGATGCCCATTCGGCACCTTGCTGGCATCTCACTTCCAATTCTGGCCAGCGCATCGCCAGCCAAACAACCGGGGATCCTTGGTCCAATCATCAATACCTCTGATGAAGGCTTCAGCCATCTAGCTAGAACTCAGCAGATCCTATCTTAAAATGCATTGCCTCAAAATATGGGTTTTCCCTACGTCCGTCGACGCACCCTTCATCACAACGAAGGAATCGAATCCCTTCGCCAGAGAAGAGAAGAGAAGAGAAGAGAAGAGAAGAGAAGAGAAGGGTGGAGATGGCCATTACATGTATTTAGACTCGAGTGGCTGAACGGTACGAGTACAACGTACATGTATCATACAAGGAGTGGCAACTCACCCGGTGTTGTCCAGCACCTCATGTACCGGTACACTACGGCATGGATTATTTGCAACCGTGGCACCCTGGTGATGTACCGGTACCGGTACCAGGCTGATCACTTAAGTCTTGTGGCTTCTGGCGTAATGTCAGAAGAAGCCTTCTTACATAAATCTCTGAGTGCCTTTGCTCACGCTTTCTGCGCCGTTTCATTTGGAGTGAAGAGTTTGTCGCATGATTTGATAATCATGCCGCCATTGCGCCACAGAAATAAATATTAACCAGGCTTCTAAAGGCAAAGAAGGGGCGGAATTCAGGACTACCGAAGGTTCGTCGGGAACAGGGGAGACACAAATACTGTACTATACGATCGGCTGCTGCTCTCACAGCTACCGGTATCGATCTGGTCTACTTGGAATTATTCTGGTATTCTGGTATACCCTCCAAACACTGCCTCTTTCTTTACGCCCCAACGGCATACTCGACTCGACTTGATCAGCCCACCTCATAAGTCTAACTTGAGATGTCCAACTCAAATAGGCCGCCAGGTCGAGAGTTTCCACCAGCAGATCGTGGGCAACCGGCAGCTGCATTCCCCCAAATTCAACCTCCTTCCCGCCCTCCCCCTTATGGCCGCCATCATTATCAGCGACATCCTCCTCCTATGCCCCATCATTGGGGTCCCCAACCTGGGTATCACAATGCGGCTTCGTTTTCGCCTAACTAGTCGACAATCATCGCAATCCATGGCCACTCCCATCCCTCGTCAGGGTTATCGGCCACTTCCCCATGGATTTGCCCCACATCCGCCCACACAATGCCACCCTCACTTTCTCCGCAACAACTTCCATCATGTTCCTGGGTCGCGACCTCATCCTCCTGGCTATGGCTACACTCCACCAGCTGCTACTGAGAAAAATCAATTCAGGAAAAATCACCAAGTACATCAGGAGCACATGGGGCAGTCTCAAAAGCCTACTAGTCAGGAAGCAAGGCGCCAGGTTAACAAACCTCAAGCAGCCAATGCCGACCCGCCATCAGGAAGTCCTTCTGCGCGGAATCCAGTTTCCAAGAAGAGGGAAGGGGAAAATCCACCACAACAGCAGACAACAAAAGAAGGAAACTCGCCACCGCCTGCAAGAGAAGATGATGTTCCTTGGGAAGAACAATATACAAAGATAAAGATATTCTTTGAGGATCATCAACACTGTGTTGTTCCGGGCTCTTTCGGTGGTAAGAAACTAGCAAATTGGTACTCCAACCAGAAACGGGATTTGAAGAATGGAACAATGAGGGCTGACAGGGTGGAATTGCTTCGGGCAATCAAGTTTGGCTGTTACGTTACAAAATGGAATATTGATTTCAGCAAGCTGCAAAAATTCAAGGCAGACAACAATGATGGACGCTGCATGCCTTCATCAACAGATAGTCAAAACCACGAACTATTCAATTGGGCCAAGATGCAGAAAATCAAATTGACAAACAACCACAAGACTCTAACGGCTGAAATGCGACAAAAGCTCATGGATCATTTTGATCTAAATCCGGAGATTGAGAGTGCAAAACGGGCTGCAAGTGAACTGCATGGGAGTGCCAAGTGCGCCAAGGCAGCAAGGACGTGAAGATATGGCCCTCGTTTAGCTCTTGTTCCATAGGGTACAGTGATGCTGTGACGATACTGGCGCGCGCTGCCGGAAATGTACTTTTTTGCACTGGCAGCTCCTTGTGCCCATCGTTGCCCCAACGGTACCGATACGTAAAATCGAATCGAATCATTCAATCGAATCGGCGGCTTCGCAGACGTTTCATGATAGCTCTGCATATTCGTTTGCTTGCTGGGTGCCTCTCAGCAGTAGGTAAGCAACCAATGTACTGGCACCTCGTTACAGATGCAATATTACTGTAGTATTGGAAGCGCTTGATGCCTCCGGCCGTCAAGTATTCTTTGTGATGGATCTCCGCAACCGGTAGAGAATTCTGTTCCGGTACTGGCTAGTAAATGCTTGAATTATCCTCCTGGTACCGCAATACTCCATAAAATATTAATAACGTTTTCGTCGAAGGATGGTCCAACAGCTCCTTTGGCTTGGAGTCCGCAGTGGCAGCATCTCACTCTTCAAGCACTCCGGCAAAGTACCATGTTTTGAGTTAGAAAGGCAACGCGCTCCGGAAAAGTACCATATTTTGAGATACAATGGGAAGCGCTCCGGCCCTATTAATAGATAGGAAGGCCTCCGGAAGAGTTAAAAGGGGAGCGCTCCGGTAAACTACCATATTTTGAGTTACAAGGCAACGCGCTCCGGTAAACTACCATGTTTTGAGTTAGAAGGCAACGCGCTCCGGTAAAGTACCATATTTTGAG